CCCCAAAACCCCAAAACCCCAAAACCCCATCTTGCTGTTGGAAAATTGAATACCTAAAATCCTTCTCTTAAGCTCGATTGCCCTCTATCTCTTGCAGCAGAGTGACTGTCTCTTCAACTATAGTATCAGAAATCATGTTTGCGAGGTCTATTTTGACAGTTGTGAACTCATGCTCAATATCGATAAATCTTTGGCTAAGTTCATCCATTTCATCACTAATAACTCAACAAAGTCTGTCCTCTCGAGCTTGTTTTAGGTCGATAGATTCATCATCGTCTAAATTGTTCTTCTGAAATAGTTCAGAGGTTGGTAGGGTTCCTGCAAAATATTTACTCCATGTCTCAACTTGTTTACTTGCTTGATCTAGAATCAGACCCACTGAGTCATTTTGAATTGGTTGAGTAGAAGGATTCTTAAGACTTCAAATATTCGAAAAGTTGCTTGAGAGCACCTTAAGCTTTCTGCTCCAAATTGGAGGTCATCCTCGTAGCCCATAAGGTCTCCTTCTATCCAAGGCTTCATTCAAGGCATCAAAAATTGCTTTATTATGTATATGTTGGTACTCTCAAAGCATTGAATAAGTTGTCTCGACACTCTTCTCATCCAATTCTTTCATAATATTATGAGAGGACCCTGAATTTTCTTTCTGAATCACACTATTAATCAATTTCTTCCTTTCATTTTCCTTTGCAGCTTTATCAGTTCTTTCCTTGCGAAGGTAGACTTGGATGTCAATGATAGATTTAGTCTCAAATCCTGGAATATGGTCTACAGTGTATTCAGATCCTTGCAAGTCTCTTAATAAAATAAGATCATTTATTTTTATTGGAACAGAAAGATTCTCCCCTATTTCTGAGGGCATGTCTTTTTCAATTTCTTGAAGAACCTCAGATATATACTGCTTTACATAAGCAGAGTCAGTGGGGATTTTTAAAGCAGAGTAAGTGCTACTATCTGAGCTTTCTTGGTCAAGCTCGGTATCAGATTCGCTTTCTGAGCTACTAGAAAAATCTATCTTTTGATATAAATCTTCAGCAATATGTTTTGGCATATGAGCATAGTCCTTTGATAAGGCGGCTACATTGATTTTTGGAGGAAACATAAGTTCAAAAATATCATGAAGGATCAAATCATAGGTAATACTACTAATTATTTCAGTCTGTTCCCTCATTTGTTTCATATTCTTTGTGCTACTTAATCTTGCTTGTGGAGAAAGTTTCTGCTTCATCGCAGTAAGAGGATCTACAACCGGCTCCTTCATAGATATAAGCTTTACCAATAATTCTTCGTTTTTATTAAGCTCTTGAGGTTGAAGTTTCCCATTCTCTGATTTTACTATCGCTTTAGCTTCCAACATTCCTGAGGCTTTATTACAAATCTTGGCATCGTCAGACTTTCTTATAGACTCAATTTGGGTTTTCAGGTGAGAATTGTGTTCATTCTTATTCCCTTTAGGAGAAAGTTCTTTCGAAGGGATAAAGACATCAACCTTCGAAGACTTGCTTTCAATGTCACCTCCAAAGGACTTAATTCTTATCATCCTCTTGATCTAGAGGCTCTTCTTCAGAAGTTCTACGGCCCCCTTGGCCTGAATTAGTCTTAATCAGAGGCAATTTTATTCCTTCTTCAATATCTGCGCAACTTTGCAAAGGAGTATTTCAAGCATCTTCATTTTGGTTTGTAGGAGCAATCTGATTTTCTGGAATAACTTCATCTTCTGAAATAATTTGAGAAATTTCCTCTGACTTACTTTGTTCTTGCTTTTGAGATCCTTTGGTTTCTTCTATCTCTGAAGTTAATGAAGAAAAATGAGAGACATCCGATGGTTCATATTCTTGCTTCTTTTCTTCACATGACTCAATGCCAAGGTTATTTGATTCTATCCAATTTTTTATGTTTTTAAGGTCTTGATAAGAATTTTGAGCAACAACTGGAGACTCAAGAAAAGACCCTGCTGGTGAAATTGAAGTCATCTGCTTGGATTTATACTCTTCAAAGGGGATCATTGAAAATAAATGCTTATCTTCTGACCCCACCATTACTTTAACAGCTTTAGTAGAATCAGTGCTTATATTGTTCTGTTTTACTCCCCCAAAGATCTTGCCAATTTTTGAAGTGTTCTTTGGAGCTGAGTTTACTCCAAAGATATTGATAGCGCTTAAATCTCAAGTTAGTAATGTTTTCTTTCCAAAGCGAGCGCCAAAGCAGTCAGGTTTCCCAATTGAGTTCAAGTTGTCATGACTCTCTTCGTATTGCAAGGAGTTCGTTTCACTAGAAATCCCTGAAGTGTTCTTACTGCTCTTGTATTCTTTTCTATAGTTCACTTTCTCAGAGTCCTTGTGTAATTTTCCTAACATTTTGATAAAATTCTTCTTGTTGGTCTTAATCTGTTTATTTCTTTGCCTTCTCCTTGACCTGGATCATATTGATTTCCTCTATATATGACCTATCTGAGATCTTGTGGTTCTTGAGTTTTGTCTTTAGCTCTCTGGTTTTCTTCAGAGTCTCTTTTTCCAGTGTCTTACTCATAACTTGAAACTCTTTGACCTGGTATTTGAGAAATTTTGTATATTCAGGGATCTGGAAAGCAAGCCCGAATGTACTGTTCTCGAACAGAGATCCATCAAGGGATTCATTCTCTTGAGAAGCAGTGGAATTACTAGATTTATTAGGAGGCTGACGAGAAGAAGGGTTTCGAGGGTGGGTTGGGAGATATTCTTTTTGACATATTTTGTGTGGGTTTAGTAGTTGCTGAAGGATTTTTCCGTTCAAGTCATTTGGGGGATCCTCTTTTGCACTATGGAGAGGGGGAATTGCCTTAGAGCTTTTAAAATACTTCCTTTTATGAGGTGGCTTTGAAGAATAACTGCTGGATTTGGTTTTTCTCTTGAATTTTGAAGTTTGAGGCTAATGGTTAACATCTTCTATGCTTACTTTAGGAGACTCTCTCTGAAATTCCTGTGTTTTAAAAGGATTATAAAAGTCTTTACCTGGTTCCCTATTTGAGCCCAGTTTCTTACTCTTCAAAATAGACTTCTTCAGAAGCATCAGAGAAGATTTTATCTTTTGAGTAACAAGAGGGTTTGAAGGATTTATCCCAGCAGATCCTGGTCTTGGTTTGATATTTTTAATAAGAGATACCAAACTTTGTTTCTTTTTAATAGATTTATAATTTTCTATTAAAGCGTCATCTGAATCTTTGTATTTTCCAAATTCTTTCGAATGTTTCTTAACTGTAGATCTCTTTAATAAGGTCAGGGATTTTGAATACTCCTTATCCAAACATTTCTTATCTTTATCAGCATTTCAAATGGCCGAACTTGATTTGTTTGTTTTATCAGTCGAACGAACGTGAGCAAGATTTTTCCTTGACTTTTCTAATTGTATATCATTTTTACATATTGGCACTTTCTTTCAGACAGACCTAAGAAAACTGGTATTTTCAACTCTTCCGTCATGATTTCTAGGTAATTTATCAAAATTAGATATATTCAAAGCTTTTCTGTTTGTCTCAATTCTGCTTGAGATGATAGAGATGTCATCCTGAGGATCGTCTACCCTTCACAGCTTATCGTTAACCTCATAATTGCATTTGTTTGTTACATTCAGAAGAGGTGTTGAATGGAGCTTTGGGTCATCATATGAAAAATTCCTTCAATCTTGGTATTGTACCCCTTGTGTCCCTTTCTTTGTTTTATCTTTATTAGAGCCACTAGCTTCAATTTCATGTATTCCTCATTCGGATATTACTGCAAGCCTGGCCTTATTTCTCTCATTAGAAGGTATCTGCCCTTGGTTTGCTTTAGAAATAGATTTTGAAGATTCATCTCCATCTTCCTTTTCAGCATGTAGATCTCACTCAAGTGCCGAAGGTGTCTCTATCTGTTTTAGTGCCTTAATTTCTTTTTGAAGGTTAGGGTTATTTCAGATTACGTTCTCTTTCTTTGAAACATTACTATATTGCTCAAAACTTGGAATGTTTGCAGAAATTTTAGAGCCAATTTTATGACACTCATGAGTATCTTGATTCAAGATATTAGGCTCAGATTTATCTTCATTCTGTATTTCAGTGATCTGCTTCTTAATGATCGTAACTGAGGGATCTCTCTTTAACAACTTTGTTCCAAAATTATGACTAATTATTTTCGCTGAGTTTGGCCTATTTATCTTCATACATTTATTTTCCTTATTACTTGAAGAATCTTTGATCCTCAGTTTAACATTAGTTTGAGGTATTCTCTTATTGTTAAAGTCGACTCTTTCTTTTAACCCGTAAATCTGAAAGTCATTGTCTATCTCAGAAATATTCTTGAGAGAGATCTTAAGTGAATTTGCACCACTAAGGCCCCGGCTTGGGTGGTTATTTCTTGATTGCATCTTTTGTTGCTCTTGATGAACAACTTGCTTCAAATGACCAAACTTGGTCTTGCAAAAATTACTTCCAGATTTTATCTTCAGGTTTGGATGACTCCCTTGTTTTAGTGAGTCTTTCACGATTATTTCTTGTGGACCCTGACTAGAGACTACTCTAAAGTCTTTCATGAAATTTCCAGAGTTCTTTGATCAGCTCTCAAGACGACTTAACTGGCTTTTGTTATCATTGTGGATCTTTTCTGGAGCACATCTTGAGTTGATATCAAAATCTTTTCCATTGCTCTCATAGTTTCAAGGTGCATTTGATACGTTCTGGTTACCCTCAAGCACAATGGGTGGATGCTTTGCTGTTCTTGGTCTAGTAGTAATAATTGGTTTCCTAACCAGGCTCTTATCTTTAGGATTATTTGACTGTGGAGGTCCTCCAGACAGAGGTCTACTCTTGTTAGGGTTTATATCCTCTTTGATTTCTGTTTTTGAGTTGTCTCAGTCCTCTTGGGGTTATTTCTTGGGTCTCTAATTTCATTCCCAGAGGTTAGGTGTTCATTCTTTTCAATAGTTGAGAGGAAATTCGTCACTTTTGGCATTTTAATGACTGTCTTTTGTGCTTTCTTGGAATCAGACTTTATATATTGGCAAATATCTTTGTCTCATCCAATAGATTTCTTTGGTAATTTTTATGATCCGAGGAAAAGTGATAGTTTTTCTCTTCAGAAGTATTTCTCTTGCCAGTGGAGTTTGTTAGGTTCTTCTTAGATTTTTTGATTGTACCGATCTCTGCCTCTCAATTGTTTGACCCCTTTTGCGATTTCTTCTCTCAATCTAAGGTATGAGTCTTTGATTCTTTACGCCTATCACTAACTTTCTTACAATTTCTTGAAGGGTTTAACACTCATAAGGAAACTTTGCCTTTATTGCTCCTAGAGTTTGCTTCCTTAAATGGAGAAAAAGTGGGTTCATCCTCTCAACCTGATCTGTTCATGGACCTTGCCTTTCTTGTTAAGTCATGAGGATTCTTCAATTTCTTCTGGCTTGTCTTTCTCTTTCGCTTAGATCCTTTCCGCCTTTTCTTAATAGAAGCTCGCTTGATATTTATGCCTTCTCTTTTGTTACTGATTTTCATGAAATTCTTCTTTTTGATAGGATTTTTCTTCTTATCGATCTGCTTGTTTTTGCATGACCAATTAACTCCTGAATTTTTAACCTTTCGAATTTGTTCTATGTCTGATGAAGAAATTTTATCAGCATTGGGAGGTTCTTTATTTCAATCTTTCTGTGCTTCAGTGATATCTTTAAGTGTCAGGGTCCTGAAACAGTTTATTTCTTCTAAATCACATTTTAATGACATCTGATATTTGCCTAATTAATTTTACTGATAAATTGTAGATGAAAGTCCAAATATTGTGATGAATATATTCACCGAGATTGCTTAGCGTAGATCCTTGCAGTCTCTACTCATTATTTTATGTTAGCAAATAACCTATCTCGATAAGAAACTGTTCGTGCTCAAATGCATTATAAGGATTTAGAGATAAGTAAGTTAGTACCTAGAGCATTTTTTAACTCAGTTTCTTGCTTTTTCTCCATTGTCGAAGTTTTTGGGGCAGTAGTATTGATCTTCTGAAATCCTAGACTTTAGTACAACAGCTACCTTTGATGTTCAAGGATCGATCTTTAGGCTTATGTGGTTTTTCAATAGGATCATTCTCTATCTTCCCAGTGAGATCATTGACGAATGACTCTAACTCTTTAGTATATTTATCATGTTTGCACTCTTTTCTAGAAGTTGCCCAATCTCTTCTTAATAGTTGTCTAGAAGAGGACATTACAGTCTTTTTCTTAATAACTGTGGGTTTTGTAATTGAGAATGCTGATGCTCTTCCTGATCTTTGAAAAGAGAATATTTTATTCTTAGGAGTTTTGCCTTTAGAACAGCTAATATATTCAATTTCTGGTATTTTCTTATGAACACTTTCAAAAGTACTGTTCGTATCTATATTTTTGTGCACAGCCTTGGAGGTGGACTGCTCCAGCTTGAAATCTTTTTCAATATTATGTAATAACTTCAAGCCTTTGGATGAATGTGTATTCTGCAGATTATTCTTGCAGTTTATATCAGAAATTTTCCCTACATTTTCAGCGAAAATGAGCTGAATTCCTTCTTTATCTCTCTTAAGATTAACAAAGCTGGATTTTCTGTTCCCAAAACCCTTTTCCAATTTCAAGTTTTCAGTCTGTCTTGGACTACTGACAATAGTATTAGACTTGCTTCAACAAAGCTTTGCCTGACGAGATCTCGAGCTATTATAATTCATTCTCTGATTATTTATGTCAATATTCTCTTTCAAATTAGTCTGATAGGCTTTGGGCTTTCCAAGAGACTTCTCTTTCTTGGATTTATGCCCATCAAGATCACCCAAAAGATGTTTCAAAGAAGAATGCTTTTGGTTTGTCTTAAGATTTTTCAACCTCAATCTCTCTTTCCTTGTACTGCTCTTATCCTTTGTGTAGCTAAGCTTGCTAACATTCCTCGGCTTTACCTTACTAATATTCTTATCAATCTGATATCGTTTCCCACTAGTTGGCCTCAATTTTTTAACTTGAGATTTTGCACTAAATGGTCTAGATTTCTTCCTTTTCTTAAAAATGTTCTGCTCTTTTGTTTCTTCTTTAAAAGGCTTATTTAAACGCTGACTTTTTAACTTAGTTTCTTCATTAGCAACAGATTGAGGGATATCCCCTTTTATCTTCTCTATAGAAGTTCAGACTGAGGAGGTATCTCTGATGCACTTACCTTTTGAATGGACGAAAAGACTGCCAATACTGTGTGAATTTGCTAACCCAACTAATAAATTTCTTGAACTCATTTATATGTGCGAATTGAGTTATTTAAATATTTAAATTCAAAAATAAATTTGAGAAAAGGGGTTTTGGGGTTTTGGGGTTTTGGGG